AATGTTATTTCTTATTTCTCATCTTGTATTTCTGACCACACCTAAGTATCCATTTATGACTCCTCTTTTTTTCTCTATGAAATAATTCAAACATTCCCCACATTTTTCTCTTTTTTGTCTGAGAGAGAGACAGAGAGAGAGAGAGAGAGAGAGAGAGAGAGAGAGAGAGAACAATTTCCATGTCTATAATCATGAATTCTAAACAGAAAAGTGGTCCAGCTCTGACACATTTCTAGAGCTTCTCAATCATATACGTCTCTGGTAAATTTATTCTACCTAGAGGCTCTGCTGGCATCAGAATCTCAGTGTACCTGAAATTCTGAGCCCTTCTTGTTTCTCTTGTTGATTTTCTGCTTTCTTTCAACAGTATTGTCTTTCTTTGTCAGTCAGTACCTTGTGGTCAACAACCATTCTCTTCTTTAGTTAAGTAGTAAACACATTCTCCTGTCCTTTTCTAATGTCTCTGGCACCTTATTTTTTCTGTAACTCCTCCTGCCAAGAGGCTAGCTCAGTCCAGAACTACAACATGTGTGGACTATTACAATAAACATGTACTTCCTTGACTCTGGCTTCTAATCCCACCATTCTGTGTACTGCCCTACACTGTACGTGACCCTTGCTATTAAGCTCTCTACTAAATTGGAAGGATTTTAAGGGCACTAGGTCTCATATGAAGGTAATTTGTAATTTTACAAGTAATTTTATTACCTTATAAGAAGTTTATTTTACTCACAGAATGGGTAGAAGGAACAGTATGATCAGTGTAACTTGAGAAAAATCAACGAAATCCCCAAGTAATTAATAATTCTTAGAAAAATAAGTAGTTTATGAGCAAGTAAAGCATAAAATATGTTGTAGACAAAGAAGGTGACAGCTATGCAAAAGTAGGGCATTAGAGGAACAAAACCTTACAAAATGGGTACAGTAGATTGGGAATGGACCTTGCGTACCATATGAAGAAATTAAAATTTCTTTCTGCATCTTATGGAAGAAACAATGGAAGTATTTCGAGAAGGGCCTTAACAGGACCACTAGTTTATGTTTTACAGTGTTGCCTCTGTCAGAATTGTAGGAGCTGATCTGAAGGAGTCCAGGGCTGAGTCCATGCCTGAAAGGACAGTGGCCCTAACACGAACCAGCTTGAGCACTTATTGCCTCCTCTACAGAAGTGATTCTCCTTGCCTTTGAATCTTTCAACTTCCAATTTGCCCATGGCATGAAGCCCAGTTTTCATATTCTAGCTACTCCATAAATGGCCCCAGTGTCTTCCCAAGTTTATTCTGCACAAACTCACAAACATATGGCCAAAATTTCAGCCTCACCAGATCATTTTCTGCTCCTGGGAAAAGGATCAGAGCTCTGCCCAGCCTCATAGCTGTAGTCCAGTCATTCTACAGCCTAGACCAGGGCTAACCAAATTCCTGCCCCACAGGCCCGGCTTGGCTCTGTGCCTGCTTTTGTAAATAAGGTGCTATTGGAATGCGGCCATGCTCATTTGTGTCCTCACTGACTGTTGCCCCTTTCCCACTCCAGCAGGGGCCTGCATCCTGCAACAGTGACCTGTGACGTGTCAACTGAAAATACGTATTCACTTCCTGCACTTTTACAGAAAGGGCTTTAAACTACTCTTGAAAATGTTGTGTTTTCTCCCCTTTCCAACAATAATGTAAAATAGACAACCTTTTCAAAGTTATTTTAAACTTAAACTGCTACAGGAAGACTTAATTTTAGTCATTCCAGTCCATAGTGTTCTGTGTCTTCTATCCACCTAGCCTGGCTCTCAGCAGTGCCATGGAACTTTAACCTATTGGCTTGTTTTATGTTTGTTTTTCTATATATATGCTTCTTCCATTTAGGATGTGAGCTTGAAACTAGGTTGTTTTTACCTACTTATTGATGTCTGGTTTTTGGTTTGTATGTCCATTTAAATATCTGCATATATAGATAAAACATGGTAGAATATATATGTTATTATTTTATAATTATATAGTGCACATACACTATTATGTGTGTAAACCTAGACTTTTGAGTCCTTATCTTGTTCCAGTTACCTGTCATGTGCTTTTCATACAGAATTTTACTTAGTACTCAAAACTACCAGCTGAAAAAAGTATATATATAATCAATTTATGAACAAAAAATGAAGGCTTAGAAAAGTTCAGAGGTTCCAATAATCTAAGTGCAATTAGTCAAGTTAAATTCATATACAAGTGAACTATGTTCAAAACCCAGCCTCTTACTAAATGGTTTTATTTGCCCACTGTATAGCATAGTGCTGTATTTCCTTAATAAATCTCAGGGAGAGGCAAAGAAAATTTAAAAAATCAAATAAAGACATTTTAGTTTTAGTTTTAATAATGCAGCACGATAGGTTTAGTGTTCAGATAACAATGATCTCTGTACAAATAATTTAAAACAATGATTGCTTATTCTCAAATCAGAAAATAAATCAACACATTTGTTGATTTGCCCTGTGCTAAACCCATGTGAACCAGTACTGTGTCGACATGACCTGAACAGGACTTAATTTTGGCCTTAGCAACGAGTTGCAGCATTTCTTGTCTTTACTACATTCCCTCAGTTGAGTCTTACCTTCTTTATATTGTAGTTAAGTGGAAAAAACCTTGGTGAAGTCACAAAAATAGAAATTCAAGCTCTCGATCCACTGTTTATAGATTGAGCTTTTTTGTACAACTATTATTTAATCTCTCTAGACTCATATTCTCCATCTATAAAAAAATCCCAAACTAAAACTTAACTGTTGAGATTGTTTTGACTTTTAAAGAAAGAATAGATAAATTGCCTAGTTTTGTTCCATACCTACTAAGAAGTCAGTGACATGCTGACAGTTTTTACAGAACAGCATAGATGTTTAACTGTTAAGAAGTGAGCACAAAAATCACTCAGTAAACTTCATGACCTTACAGAAATACATGGGACCACAGAAGCAGGAGAGACATACATAAGTGATGAGAAACAAAGTCCCCAGTAAAGGAGGCAAATACCTCGGTGTGGTTTTATCTTAGCTGTATAGTTATCTGTAGAGTTCCTTGTATTTCTTCTCTGCTTTTACCATAGAAGTATAAATTTTCATGCCATTGGCACTACAGAATATCTCTTATTTAAAATATACTTTCCATGTACTTTAGAACTTAATAAAATTTAGAAAAATTAATCATATGAAAAGTACAACTTATTCTTTACAAAAATACTACATGTATTACTTATCATTAAACAGACAGTAGCACTTATGACAGCGTAAAAATTCAAATGTATAGTGCAAGGTTCCTTGATTATTTATTTAACCTTGGACCAAGTGCCTTATTGTTTGCTATCAACACAATGATCCTTCTCCTACATCATGGTTCTGACATATACAAAACTTCCAAGTCCAAATGTGCATTGCCCTTAGTCATTAATATTTAATTTTATGTGAATATTTAAGGAACCAAATATTTGATTGAACTTTGATTTTTACTGTCATAAATCTATTGAGAAAATTCAAGGCAATATGTATGAATCATTTCTTTTCTCTGTCAATTAAAAAATTGAATTAAATTTAATTTCTAAATTAGAACTTTATTATTTATTAATTTCTACTTTCATTAATAGTAACAAGTTTTCCAAAATAAAATCATATGCTTTCTCATAATGCATGTTCTATAAGCTTTCTTCAAAAGGTAAACTAGTTTGATAATTTTAGGAGACTTGAATTCACTGTATAGGATCAGTATTTATGCTTTATAAAGAGTCACTCCTGGTTGTCCAGGAAGTATATTCCCTTCTATTGTCATTCATTCTCGAGTCCAGCATGTGGGTATGCTAAAAATTTAAGTACTTGAGCAATACCAAGTAATTTGTCAGTACTGAAGCCATTTGTCACCTAAATCCCTTCTATATTCTTTCCTTTTTTGTAATTTTATAGGACCTCTGTTCTTTTTAAATACCACTTCCCAAATATTTTATTTCTCTAACATGGGATAAAATGATGAAATATTTGTTTTAAGCTGTGAGCATGGATGGTATACATTACTGGCTGAAGTGTAGTTTGTTTTTGTTTTTTTTCTGCATTTTCTATTAGACACTTTCTATTACTTTGTTTATATGGACAGAAACTAAGCTGTGCATGCTATTAATTCCAACAAGGATATATCTATTTGTGGGAATAAAGAAAACCTTTGAAGATACTTCCTTGCTACCCTCCAATGTTTTATTATGGACCATAAGCAATTCCTGAACCTTCAAATTGAGCTACCTCTTTCCTAATCTCTGGGACCCCACCTGAGACATAACATGAGGAATTTGGACAGAGAAAGAAAGAGTGCTTTACTCTTTATAAAGAAGAGAGAAGCTCTTCTCGGTGGAAACTGCTGCTTGCTGACCAATCTGGTTAGCATCAAACTATCCATGACAATGTATTAGCGCCCCAGACAAGAGAGCAACATAGCCATATGAGGAGTGACATATGAGAGAATTAATAACCATGAATATCTCTGTATAAATAACCAGTTCCTTAGTTGTTCTGAACAGCCAACGTATGTTAATGCAGTATTACGTCTTTAAAGAATAAGATCTCCAACTGATTTTCTCTGATTTATTATGGTATGGAACAGAAAAATAATTCTTTAGTTGATTTTTAAAAAGTTCATTTGTGATTCTGGCCACTAGCCATGATATTAGAGCAAGACCCTGATTTATACTTTCAGGCTCATTTATTTAAAACACAATAATGTTTTAAGTTCATTTTGTGATGCATGATTTGAGAGTCCTGATAAATTTGCAGAACCTTGCTTGAGGTCACTGGACCTTTTACAATAACAATTGTCAATATAATGTTCACATAAAATTTGAAGTATTTTGATTCTAGCCATATTCCTTCATTTTTGTATAATGTTACTTATAATACTTTTCATTCACACTTCAGTTTTTCAATACTAGTAGATAAGACGTTATATTATGACAAATAAAAGACAGATGTCTATCTTTGTTCTCTGCTTTAGTTATAGCATCATTGGTGGAAATTCTCAGTTCACCATCAATCCATCCACAGGACAAATCATCACAAGTGCGTTACTAGACAGAGAAACAAAAGATAATTATACTTTAATAGTAGTCTCCAGTGATGCTGGGTCTCCAGAGTCTCTTTCCAGTTCTACCAGTGTGCTTGTAACTGTGACGGATGTCAATGACAACCCACCAAGATTTCAACATCACCCCTATGTCACACATATCCCATCTCCTACTCTCCCAGGTAATCACACTACGAGACCACATGATTATATGTAAAATATGTATCAGATGTTTTCTATGAATACAGTTATGTTATTTACATATATTTCATATACATATATATTTTTGATATATATTTCTTATATGGATAGATATTTATTTCTTGTATAAGCTAATTTTTCCAATTCTCTAAAATTCCGGTTGTTTTGCCCAACTAAATTGAAGAAAATTTGAAGCTTGTAATTAATTCTTTTCTTCTAGATCTATTGTGTGTAGGCTTTTATAATTGTCACATCTTTCTTTTCACTATTTGTTAATATTGCATGAACACTGTAAATGACTAAAATAGATATTACTTTGTTTTTAAGGATGGTTATTTCCTAAAGTATATTTTGTAATTTTCTTGAGAGAAGGAGGATTATCTCTATTTTTCATGTCATAATCCCAGCATCTGAAACATTATCTAGGAGGTAGTAGGCATTCAAATATAATTGTTGGTGGAAAATAAATATCTTATTCAGTTCTTCATAGATATTTATTTTATAGAGTATTTAATAAATAAATACTTCTAAATAATATTTATATTTTATTCCAGTTTTTCTGGGTGTAAGTTTTTCTGTTAGTAAGTTTATGGTGCCATTTACAAACTGCTTTCATACTGATAATATACATTTACCTTTCTACGTCTTTTTCAAATTCAGTTTTATCATTTGTTTATTTGAAAAAATGGCTTACTTTCTTAACAATTGCACAAATATGGTATTTTTAAATGAATTTTCAAACAGGAAAATACACATAGTTTGTGATTAATTTAGTCTTTTTCATTTACAATATTTTAATTAGAAAAAAAAATGGATCCAGTATTCCTCCTCTTAGTAATTTTTGATCTTTTATCAACTTGAGAAGTCTAACTGATACCAATTGTAAGTATAAAATCCATAAATGTATATGCCAACTTTCTATCCAAAGAAATGCAAACATCAAAATCAAAAATCTATGATGAAAGTCTTTAGCTGAAATTACTCTGCCAGTCTTGATTCTAATTACATGCAATGTGTGGTGGCGCACTAGACCATCTCCCCTGCAAAATGAGATATGCTTAAGCATCTTTTCCTCATTAGACTTTTTATAATTATGAAAGTTACTGCATTTTTTTAATAAAAAACTTTTCACTTTTGTCACACACTCTTCTCTAGGGGTGTTTGGAAGTGTTTCTGAATGAGAATATTGAAAAAAATATGTCCGTATGGAAGATTTTCTACATATTTAGACTACAATCTGTTACACTGGCACTCATTCAAAGCACTAACTTTTGAAATCCAAATTGGATCCATCCTTCCTCAGTTCTTATTTCTTACTCATTTACAGTTATTTTAATTTATTTATGCATATATATATACACACATATATGCAGACACATACTTTCTCTCTATGTAACCACAGGTTACCGGTAAAAGACTCTTGCTACGAAACACTAGTTATCATGATACAGTAAATTTTAAAAACATTTTTGTTGCCCTGATTGGGCAATGATATCTTTTAGCTGGCAGAAGCACAGTTCTTTACAAAGCTTGTATGTTATCATGCTTATTGGAATATGTTATGTGCAGATTTTTCTCCTGGGAGCTATGACTCTGAGTGATAAGCCAGTTGCCTTCATTGTGCTTCTCTCAAAGGGATACTAAAAAATATTAAATCTAGTAGATCATATGGGTTTTAGTGAGCAAATAAAACACCAATCTGTGAAGATTATCATTAAACATATTGACTGGGAAACTTCGGAAAAAATGTAGAAGATACTGTTCTCTCCAGGAATCATAAGAAAAGGTCACATCATGAGGCAATATAGATTTCTAATACATTAATCTACTATGAATATTTTATTTTGTTTCTATGGGATTATAACTGTAAACTCCCTCTTTTTATAGGTTCGTTTGTCTTCGCAGTTACAGTTACAGATGCTGATATTGGACCCAATTCTGAACTGCATTACTCTCTTTCGGGTAGAAACTCTGAAAAATTTCGCATTGATCCCTTGAGGGGAGCAATCATGGCAGCGGGGCCACTCAGTGGAGCTTCAGAAGTGACATTTTCTGTCCATGTGAAAGATGGTGGTTCAATTCCAAAAACAGATTCTACAACAGTAACTGTGAGATTTGTGAACAAGGCAGATTTTCCTAAAGTCAGAGCCAAAGAACAAACATTCATGTTTCCTGAAAACCAACCAGTAGGCACTCTTGTCACCACCATTACAGGATCCTCTTTGAGAGGAGAAGCTTTGTCCTATTATATTGCAAGTGGGAATCTTGGGAATACTTTTCAAATGGATCAATTAACAGGACAAGTGTCTATTAGTCAACCTTTGGATTTTGAAAAGATACAAAAGTATCTTGTGTGGATAGAGGCCAGAGATGGAGGCTTCCCTCCTTTCTCTTCTTATGAAAAACTTGACATAACAGTATTAGATGTCAATGACAATTCCCCAATTTTTAAAGAAGATCCATTTGTATCAGAAATATTAGAAAACCTTTCTCCTAGGAAAATACTTACTGTTTCTGCAATGGACAAGGACAGTGGACCAAATGGACAACTGGATTATGAAATTGTCCATGGCAACAAAGAAAACAGTTTCAGTATCAATCATGCCACTGGTGAAATTAGAAGCATTCGACCATTAGACAGAGAAAAAGTATCTCATTATATGCTTACCGTAAAATCTTCAGACAAAGGTTCTCCTTCTCAAAGTACCTCAGTAAAAGTCATTATTAACATTTTAGATGAAAATGATAACGCCCCTAGATTTTCTCAAATATTTAGTGCCCATGTTCCTGAAAATTCCCCTTTAGGATACATTGTTACACGTGTCACTACTTCTGATGAAGACATTGGTACAAATGCAATTAGCAGATATTCGATAACAGACATGAGTCTTCCATTTACAATTAACCCCAGCACAGGAGATATCATCATTAGTAGACCTTTGAACAGAGAAGATACAGACCGTTATCGAATCCGAGTTTCTGCGCATGATTCTGGATGGACTGTAAGTACAGATGTCACAATATTTGTGACAGATATCAATGACAATGCCCCAAGATTTAGCAGACCCTCCTATTATTTAGACTGCCCTGAGCTTACTGATATTGGCTCCAAAGTGACTCAGGTATATGCAACAGATCCTGATGAGGGATCAAATGGGCAAATATTTTATTTTATAAAATCTCAGTCAGAATATTTCAGGATTAATGCCACAACTGGAGAGATTTTCAACAAGCAGGCCTTAAAATACCAGAATGTCAGTGGCTTCAGCAATGTGAACATTAACAGGCATAGTTTCATAGTGACATCTTCAGATCGAGGTAATCCTTCTTTACTTAGTGAGACAACTGTTACTATCAACATAGTTGACAGTAATGACAATGCACCTCAGTTTCTTAGAGATAAATATTTCACCCCAGTCACCAAAAATGTTAAAGTTGGTACGAAGCTAATCAAAGTGACTGCAGTAGATGATAAAGACTTTGGATTGAATTCTGAACTGGAATATTTCATTTCTAATGAAAATTATTTAGGGAAATTTAAATTGGACAATGATACTGGATGGATTTCTGTAGCATCTTCCTTGATTTCTGACTTGAATCAAAACTTTCTGATCACAGTCACGGCACAGGATAAAGGAAACCCTCCACTTTCTTCCCAAGCAACTGTTCAAATAACTGTCACTGAGGAAAACTACCACACACCTGAATTTTCTCAAAGCCACATGAGTACAACCATCCCTGAAAGCCACAGTATTGGGGCCATAGTTAGAACTGTTTCTGCCAGAGATCGAGATGCAGCTATGAATGGCTTGATTACATACACCATTTCTGCAGGAAATGAAGAAGGCATTTTTGCAATCAATTCCTCCACAGGTGTATTAACATTAGCCAAAGCTCTTGATTATGAGCTATGCCAGAAGCATGAAATAACTATTAGTGCAACAGATGGAGGATGGGTTGCAAGAACTGGTTACTGCAGTGTGACTATAACTGTGATTGATGTGAATGACAATTCTCCAGTATTTGTTCCTGATGAATATTTCCCTACTGTTTTGGAAAATGCTCCAAGTGGGACAACAGTTATCCACCTAAATGCAACAGATAATGACTCTGGAACCAATGCTGTGATTGCATATACTGTTCAGTCATCAGACAGTGACCTCTTTGTCATTGACCCCAACACAGGAGTCATTACCACCCAAGGCTTCTTAGACTTTGAAACCAAGCAGAGCTACCATCTTATTGTGAAAGCCTTCAATGTGCCTGATGAAGAAAGGTGTAGCTTTGCCACTGTTAATATACAATTAAAAGGAACAAATGAATATGTGCCTCGTTTTGTTTCCAAACTTTACTATTTTGAAATCTCAGAAGCAGCTCCTAAAGGTACCATAGTTGGAGAAGTGTTTGCCAGTGACCGTGATATGGGCACTGATGGGGAGGTACACTATTTAATTTTTGGTAATAGTCGAAAGAAAGGTTTCCAGATCAATAAGAAGACTGGACAAATTTATGTTTCTGGGCTTCTTGATAGAGAAAAAGAAGAACGGGTATCTTTGAAAGTATTGGCCAAGAATTTTGGCAGCATTAGGGGTGCTGATATAGACGAAGTCACTGTAAATGTCACTGTGCTTGATGCCAACGACCCACCTGTATTTAGTCTAAATATCTACAACGTCCAGATCAGTGAAGGGGTGCCAATAGGAACTCATGTGACCTTTGTCAGTGCCTTTGACTCCGACTCCATCCCGAGCTGGAGCAGGTTTTCTTATTTCATCGGATCAGGGAATGAAAATGGTGCCTTTTCCGTTAATCCACAGACAGGACAAATCACTGTTACTGCTGAATTAGATCGAGAAACCCTACCTATCTATAATCTCACGGTTTTGGCTGTTGATTCAGGAATCCCCTCTGCAACAGGAAGTGCCTCCTTATTAGTCACCTTAGAAGACATAAATGATAATGGGCCCATGTTGACTGTCAGTGAAGGAGAAGTTATGGAAAACAAACGACCAGGGACTCCAGTAATGACCCTTCAGTCCACTGATCCTGACCTCCCTCCTAATCAAGGCCCCTTTACCTATTACCTGCTAAGCACAGGTCCTGCCACCAATTATTTTAGTCTCAACACTGCTGGAGTTCTGAGCACAACCAGAGAGATTGACAGAGAGCAGATTGCAGACTTCTACCTGTCTGTGGTTACTAGGGATTCTGGTGTCCCTCAGATGTCTTCCACAGGAACAGTGCACATCACAGTTATAGACCAAAATGACAATCCTTCTCAGTCTCGGACAGTGGAGATATTTGTTAACTATTATGGCAACTTGTTCCCTGGTGGAATTTTAGGCTCCGTGAAGCCACAGGATCCAGATGTGTTAGACAGTTTCCACTGTTCCCTCACATCCGGAGTGACAAGCCTCTTCAGTATTCCAGGAGGCACCTGTGATTTAAATTCCCAGGCACGGTCCACAGATGGCACATTTGATCTGACTGTCCTTAGCAATGATGGAGTTCACAGCACAGTCACAAGCAACATCCGAGTTTTCTTTGCTGGATTTTCTAATGCTACAGTGGATAACAGTATCTTGCTTCGAGTCAGTGTACCAACAGTAAAGGACTTCTTGACTAACCACTACCTTCATTTCTTACGCATTGCCAGCTCTCAGCTAACAGGCTTAGGGACTGCTGTGCAACTCTATGGTGCCTATGAAGAGAATAATAAAACATTTCTTTTGGCAGCTGTGAGGAGAAATAATAATCAATATGTGAATCCCAGTGGTGTAGCCACCTTCTTTGAAAGTATCAAAGAGATCATTTTCCGGCAGAGTGGAGTAAAGGTGGAATCTGTGGACCATGACTCCTGTGTTCACGGTCCCTGCCAGAATGGAGGGAGCTGTATTAGAAGACTGGCTGTGGGCTCCACACTGAAAAGCCACGAGAGTCTCCCTGTTATCATCGTGGCAAATGAACCTCTGCACCCTTTCTTATGCAAGTGTCTACCAGGTTATGCTGGCAGCTGGTGTGAAATAGATATAGATGAATGCCTTCCAACCCCTTGCCACAATGGTGGGACCTGTCACAATTTAGTGGGAGGGTTTTCATGCAGCTGCCCAGAAGGCTTCACAGGGAGGGCCTGTGAGAGAGATATCAATGAGTGCCTGCCCAGTCCTTGCAAGAATGGGGCTGTCTGCCATAATTTTCCAGGAGGCTTCAACTGTGTTTGCAAAACTGGATACACAGGTATGACAATATTTTACTTTGTTTTCCTAAAACATTAGCCATGTCGTGTATAGTAGAAAGTAAAGAAATTTGTCACTTTAAATGTCTTTTTATCAGTAAACATAATCATAACATATACTTTTAAAACTTCAATATTAGTTGAAAAATATTTTGATCACTTTATATATGTGTACTATATTTACTTCTTGCTAGAAACCTGTAAGGTAAGGATATTTTCTAGTTATTACAAACAAGAAAATTGAACTAGAGAGAAGTTACATAAGTTTTTGACAGTGATCCAGTTAATTTGTAATAGTGTCATGATTGAAGTCTACACAGTTAATTCCAGAGTTTAAACTCTTAGTCTGCTCATTGTCTCTTATAAGAATTTAAAAAAATGTTTTCCTAAAAGCATATGATAAATTTTAAAGTACGTGGTTCGTATAAAACCTAAGACCTGGAGCATTTTATGTCCTAAATAACTGTTACCAATTATTGGTGTTGATTCTTTTACATTATCATCCTCATTTTATGATCTTGCCAGTCATAATCATTCATGTGTTCCATACTGTGAAGAGACTACAGAAAAGGCATGCTTTAAGATTAAGATTAAAATGGCTTATTTTTAGTAGTTGGGTAGAAAACATAATAGGCTGATTTCTCAGGTAAGCCAGGAAAAAAAAAAGGAGCCACAGTTTACCTTGACATTTCAGAAGAAAGATTAAACATTTACTGGTAAATTTGTTCGACTAGTCTTTAACATCATAATAAGATATGATATTCATTATAGAAATATCTCTCTGTTTTCTTTCATTTATATTTAACAATCTTCCATCTGTTTACTAGCTGATCAGTGCTTGGTGTTCCTTCAAATTTGAATAATAATTATTCTGTTTACAAATCTGAGAGTTAAATTCTCTCCTATACATTGCACTACATATTTTTAGAACATTTATATTATATTGTATTGGTCTGAAATGTTAAACTTAAAGTGCTATAAAATAGCCAAAGCCAAGACAGGTTTTTATAGTGTTTTTGTAGGTGTTTCATAGAATAAAATTTTATGAGATTTTTAAAAAAGAAAAATGCATTTTGGTAGTATACTTTAAAGGTGCTCATCATGTGTATACTTATTGTTTTATGTTTGGAAAATTGTTAATATAAAGCATGGTTGGAAAAACTGAAGCAGAGCATACAGACTTTCCTTTTAGAAAAGTAATGTCCCTGAAATATAAATGAAGAAAAGGGACAGCAAGCATGTGTAATGGAAAGAACAGAGATCTGATAGAATTTGATTTAGCTTTAGCTTTTGGGAAGTCACCTAACCTTGTCGACCCTTAATTTCCCCATCTATAACAGAATATATAGTTAAAATAATCATAATTACTTATGTTTGAGGACTGTTAAATAAATAAATATGTTTGAAAATAACTAGAACATTGTCTAGCATACAATAACCGGCACTGTTAACTAGTATCATTAGTATAGTGGTAGCAATAAAAACATGCCACAGAATTACTAAAAAGACATAGGGGCTGAATAGCCTAAGATACCTTAAATGTTAATAGAAATGTATCTTTAGGATCATGAATAGTAATGCTTTATCAGTACTGTGAGTTTAAGATTCCTAGAAAACTTTCTTCATTCCCACTCATCCTAAAAATTGTCTCCTTGGCTGAAAATTCAAAAATAAAATATTTCTTTGTCTTATTTTAATATAGGCACTTGTTGACACTTAAATTTAGAGTCTATTTCTATTAGTACCAGAATGAAAAAAGCATATGAATTTTATATTGGTGGGGGACAGAGAAAGTACCAGTATTGCAAGTGAAGGCAACATAGGCTGATTTCGACATAAATGTAGCTTACTTCATGAATGGGCATGTTACTTCTCTCTAGCTTTTTCTTTCTTTGTCTTCTCATATTTAAATGTACACATATAGTGTTTAAAATGTGACAGGTGAGACTTTTAGGAATGCCATGATTTTCATCATAAAATATTAACATCTATTTAATGGCTATGTTGAACACTGCTTAAATCTCCTTGTCCTATAGACTTTATTATATGTAATTCCTACAACTTTGTGAGCTAGATATGATCATCATTCACATTTCAAAAACAAAAGCAAAAAAAAAAAACAACACCTGGATGTTAGAAAGATTAGAGGAGATTAAATAATTCACTTGCAGTGGGAGCATGAAAAGTGTCCTCCTTGAGTTTTGATTATGAGTTTGAGTCCAGAGCCTCTGGCCTTCATGTTCATATTGCACTTCATCACTCTCTCATTTGTACTTGGTATAGAGTGTTTTGGTGAGTTCTTCATATCTGTTAAGAGCTTTTTTCTCATTTTCTAATTTTTCCTCAGAATAAGCCCTGGAGAGAGTGTTCTTGTCAAAGGCTAGTCAGGACTTGAAACTAGACTAAGTCTTTCAGGCAAGAAGGTATTTGAAATAAAAAGAAATCACTTACCGAACCTTCACCCTGGCTGAGGTTCAGGGATGTCAACAGTAAAGACATGCAGGGACTGACGCAGCCACTGCAGACCACCTTGCTGCAGTGGGCAATTTTGTCTGGTCTCTGTCATTGGCAGAATATATAAAGCCATGCTGTGCTGGTAAGGAGTCTAGGAAAAGTAGTTTACAGACCTCTAGCTCTGCAATACAGAAAGACAGGAAGGATGCTGTCAGTAGATGATATCGGCCAATGAGAAGTATTATTAAAGATGTCTATTTTACATTATAGGAAATTAAGCCTATGTGTTGCTGGCCCTAACCCTAGAGCCAGAGATACCAAAGACTACATAATGATCTTTTTGTCTCAAAAAGCTCCCTTAAAGTTATGTAATAATGCTAAGTACACCCCCCCCATGTTACTTCTGTCTCCAAATGATCACAGATGTCATAAACAAACATAAAAGAGAATGATTAATATGAATCTTACATTTTTTGAAATTCTGTAATGTATTATTTTAAATTCTATATGAAAACACTTGTAGTAAACAGAGCAGATAAAGCCTGATAGTTTTCTTTCTTTTATTTTGCAAGAAACAGTGAGACAGAAAGTACCACGACCAACATTAATCCATACTCTTAGGAATGTTTCATTTAAATTTATGTATTTGTCTAATGGTCTTTGTGAAGATAATCCCCAAAGAATCACCCTGACTTATTCTTTGCAGCTAGTCTCTACCTGCTAGCTGGCCAGGGAAGATGGAGCTAATACACTAAATTCTAGAGCTAGTCTGACATGATAGCCCTAAGACAAAATCCGTGCTTATGTATATGTGTGCCTCATAGAGTGAATGTTTAAAAATGCTTATACTAGATAGACTGTACTCTTTTTATTTTTCATGAACATGTAATAATTTTAAATATTTATGGGATACTGCAGGACATTATATTAAGTGAAATAAACCAGACACAGAAGGCAAATACCGCATGTTCTCTTTCTTATGTGGAAGCTCAAAAAAGTCCATCTGGAAGCATATTAGTGACTAGTAGTGTCTGAGAAGAATGCAGAGAGAAAAGAAAGAAGGAGATTGGGTAATGGGTGGATATTCCTTCTGTTAGCATTGATTAAACTCTAGCTCCTTAGTGAAGCCATGCTTCATTAAGGCCTGTATATATTTACTTCTCTTTTGGCCACCTGAGTTTTTTAGATTTTCTCTTGCATTTTATCAATAGTGTTAGTTTATGGAATTTCAACTGAGGCTTCTATACTCCCCTTGCCAAATCTTACACAAACACACACACACGCACACACACAAACACCAGTGTAGATTTTGTGTGGTACTAGAAATAGTGTCAAATATTAATAGAGTAAGAGGCTTATGAATTGATGTAAACTGAGAAACTTTATGCTACCAATTACAGAGAATGAGTATTAGTGGAACAAGGATTTTGCTTGGAGAACATCTTATAAGGAGGCAGGTACTTGTGAAAATGAAAATTATGGGACAGAAAAGATATGAAAGTATATAAATTACAATCATATCACAAATTTAGACCTTAAATATTTACTTTTTAAACTTTATTTTCCAGTATGACTATAGGACCATATACATAATAAATATGGGATAACAAACTGTACTTTAAAGTGAATGAATGATTTAGAGAACTTGAATTTGTTTTTATAACATGTTTCTGATGTTTTCTTAGTTACCAGAAAAAATGCAAAGGAAAAGTTAAAAAACACTTGCATTGTGATATGTTCCATTACAATTTATGTTTCAATATTAAGAAAATTTCTTATAATTTAACTCATATCACTAAAGGGATTAACTATATTAATTATATTAAAAAGATTAATGCTTTTTAGCATTAAATGCATGAAAAATTAATTTCTAGATTTTCACAGTATTTAATGAATATTAATAATTACTCAGTTTTCAGTGCATGTAGAAAAAGGTATAGTTTTCTTAGGAGATGAGTTGAGAGATTAGCAAGTGAGAATATATTCTTTTAAGATCATGACACACAGTGTACCTACCATTGTTACTCTTTAATTATTTGTCATGAAATTTTATTTTTTCATAGAAATGTTTTTGTGTTTTCTTTAATATCTACTTTTATTACATTAAAATAAAAATGAATCATATAAATAAATAAAATCTATTTAATATTGGCCGGGTATTTAGCTCAGTGGTTTTGCCGCCTGCTGCGCAAGCACAAGGACCTGAGTTTGATCCCCAGTATAAAAAATATATATATATTTAATATTATTCACACTTCAGAATTCCAGGAGATTCTAAAAGAAAACATCAACCTGAAAGTATAAATTAGTACTTCTCTTCCTATACAAAGGAAAATGTCTTGCATTTAGTAGAACACTAATAAGAAAGTAAAAGAATAGTCTATAATATCCTCAGTTTGTGTCTTCCAGCACGCAAGTTATCACTGTCTGCAGCACATCCCTGATGTTGAGGACTTGATAGGAAAGGGTGGTGTTATAAAATTCAGCATGTAGGTAGAGTTTATTTCTAAATCTGGACCTATTATAATATAATTAGCTCCTAGCCCATTTAATCTTTCCTTTCACTTTCACACATCTGGATGCATTTGAGATGTGCTATTTGGAATAATGCCAGGAGTTTATTTCCATTGAAGTTTCCTGTGTTCTCCAATATGTCCCTCTATTTCAGGGGAGGATGAGATTCATCTGTTCCTTACTTTTATGTCATTTGACAGTATAAGTAGTGATTTTTTCCATCTATAAAAGGTTATATACAGGCTTTGCAGGTACTTTTCCTGAAAAACTTGGCAAATATTTTCCTTTATAAAGATGGAAGGAATAACTAAAAGTCAGTTTTTGAAAAATCGCTACAGTTATATATAAGTGTTTGGGGACAAGAAAAAAATCAAAGTGTCCAAAGGATATTAGGTGAATAAATATGAACTACAGTTATCATTGATATATAGAATAGTGGCTCGTGTAAGAGAAGATAAAAGGCTTAATTTTTGTTTTGATGTTTTTATTTCCAAGAGTGAGATTAGGCAGTTTACCTTAAGTGGTGTGTGTATTACCTTATATAGGAATCAATATCTTGGATTTCTAGTGACTTGAGTGCTTCTTACTCCTGCAGAAAATGGGCATGTATTTGTAAGTAGGCTCATCATGAATATTATGGAGTGTCTCATATGGTCTTATATTTGTGCATGCTTTATAATACAAAGGTAAAAAATGGGGACTTATTTTGCTCTTCTTACTGGCTACCTCTGATTTGGTATACAAAACCATAATGCTATGAAATAGCATACTTGGGTGAGCTGTCTTGATAGGGCCTCTTACAATAATGGGAAACATTTATAGAGTGTCCCAGAAAAGCCACTGCCTTACTCTCCCACAGTGGTAGGATTACAGTTTGTGTGCTACCACCCCTGCCTAAAATAGATGCTTTTTGCCAAAAATAATTTTTAAAATCTAATGAGCACAAAGATTCAAAATAAATAGCATATATTTATCGTAGAATATTTGTTAATAATTATACTAATTACAAAATGGACTTTGGTAGTTACCCATGTTCCCCCTTCTTCCCAATGCATAAAACACAAAAGAAGCAAACGTAGCACGTATGGTCATCTGGTATACATACTATCTAAGCTAGTAAGTAGGAGGCAATATGAACTAAAGGATATGAAAAATCATATCTTTAAGAGGTATTCAAATTTAGTAGACGGGAATTTAGTTTTGTTCTTTAAAATCTAACATAAAAATATGTTTTTGGACAAGTGAAACTTGAATATACATCCTTGTTGGAAATACCATAGGCATTCGCAGTAGATTCAGTTTATGTTCAACACATTATCACACCTTTTGCCCTGGAACAAGATCAGGGTAAATTTCTTTCATAAATTTAATCTATAATCTTAGCCCTTCTGTAGATACACTGGCCTCAGTATCATGCACTTATTTTCATTTTCAGCAATTGCCATTCTTATGTGCTAAGAGTTTTACATCCTAAAGCACATTTCCTTCTATCTACAAAAACTAGTGCATGTCAACAGAATTAATTGATGGATGTCAAAGCAGTTAGACCAATTTATTCTTATAAATAACTGCTGTGCACGTAAACAGATTTTAAGATAAAAAGAGCTCCTTGTGTTCATAAGGCCTGGTTGCATTTCTCTGTGTAAGTGCTGTCAGTGCACTTCCAAGCCTCAAGGCACTGGCGAGTATTGTTAATTGACTTGCAGCATTAATTAAGTTAATGATCCAAGACTTTACTTCACAGTGCTCTAACACATTGGTTATTATACCAGGAGCATGTTAGAGTCATTCAGACTGCTGCATCCCCTGATCATCACTATGCCAGTAACAGTACAGTTGTAGGAGACAGAGCTGTAGAGGACAATACAGAATTTACTGTTCATTTCTAATTGACCAGTAGAGCATGTACATTCCAAACATGAGAAATACGTATTCAAAGTTTTTCTTTTGATTCTAAGTAAAAATATGCCATTGTTCTCTCTTACAAAGGAAGAAAAAAATCTTTTTCAGGAATAATTTAAACTAAAACTTTAAGTTTTCAAAGTGTGTCTTTCGATCTAATTAGCATGGCAATATCTTTGAAATTGTAAAATAATTTTTTACTCACGAATTGGAGAAATGCTACATTTATGAATGGTGAATAGTTTCCATACTATAACAACAAAGACTATTTTCCAAATTCAATACATTTTCCTTTATTTAATTCCTAGAAAGTGTTTTATGCATTTTGATTATCTCCTAAGAAAAATAAGAAAATTTCTTTCAATCAAAATGTTAAATAAAAGGTTAAGTTTGTTTTTTCTGACCAATTTTTATTTCTATTATTGTACATTTTAAAAATCATATTATATTGAAAATTTAAGTTTTTAAATAAAATCATTCTCAAAACTAATACTGTATTAGTTTTAATTTCTTCCGTGTCTAAAATAACTATGTTTTTAAATTCAGGAAATAGGCTTATTTATATTAGGATATTTTTCCAGCCCTCTCTTTGAACTAACTACAGTAGCCTATATTTTATATTTAAATTAAGCTCAGATGTCTTTGTAAAAAAAATCTAATTTTGTAATGGGTAAATGAAATAGCTGACTTATGTAAATTATATGTAAAAACATGTATATTTACTTATTACTGTTTATACAGAAATTTTAAAAGTAGCATTTCTAAGCCAAATTTGAAAAAGATAGAGTTGAGGAGCTTTATAAAATCAGTGAGTTTTTATATTCTTCATTTGTTTTGTTAGAGAAAACAGACTGAGTGTATTTGACTAAGTGTATATGACAGTACACCCCTAAAATTTGCAATTCTTGGTTCCTTAAATCTAGTCCTTAAGAAATAAGGTTAACAATTTTATAATATTCTGTCACAGTATAAATGTATATGAATCTACATATTTAATAAATACTACTTTTAACACCACTTTAAAAAAATTTTTCGGAAAAAAAAAGAAAGTAAAACCATATTTAGCCCAGTAGTATATGTACTAAGTGTATCTTCTTACACTGAAACAAAGATGGAAGGAATGGGATATAATTTTCCTGATGGTAAATATGTAATAAAAAGTTTTGCCAATAGGTCTTATTTATTCTCTATTGGACAATACTGATTTTCTTTAAAGAAACAAAATCCACATCTCTAACTTGGTCTGTCACACATCCAGTTGGAAAACAACATGGGAGGGAATTCTATGAAACAGCATCTCTCTGGTGTGAAATAAAGCCTGAGTTTATAGTAAAGTTGTCTGGCCTGTTCCTGAAATGTAACACATTGCTGCAATACTAAAACTTAATTTCTGTGGCTCTAAATTAGTAACTTGTTTATTTTTAAGCTCTCTCTTTAGAATAGAAAAGTATTCTCAGTTATTTTACTCAGAATTTTGCCTTGTAAGGAGGTTACCAATTTTATTTATAAAGGGAAAAATGTCGTGTTTATGATTATATGATGTACAGAAACAGGCTTAGTTAGCAGTGTCACAAGGCTTTACTCACACTTATAATTTCAGACCAGTACAATTGTGGCTACGTAATCAAGCCACAAAAACAAAACTGACTTAAACAGAAACTATGACTATGTGTAAGCAGTTACTATGACAAAATACCTCATGATTAACATTAAATGTAGTTGTGCATATAAAATATATATGCTTTCATGAGATATATAAAATATGCATTAGTGTAATCATGATAGGAAATGGAAAATAACTTTACAGAAACTGCCATAAATGAAAACTTCCAGTCAAGTAATGTAAATGAACTATATACTATAACATCTCACTGGTTTGGGGGATTGGAAAACTACAGATTATCTTTACAAATATATTAAAAATTTAAATAATGGAGAAGGATACAACAGTGACATTAGAACATATTTAAGACTAAAAATAAACCATGAAAACAATAAGATTTCTACTCTACCTTGTTTTCTCTAACATGTGATCAAATATTCGGTCATAGTTTTGTGAAACCTGACAGTGGGAGCAAAAGACCTGAGTTAGTCTGTGCCGAAGTTTCTCAGGCATGATATTAGATTCTAAGAGGCTTTTCATTTTCACTTGTGAAAGATGTTTCTTTTGTATGGATTAATTCCCTCCATTACGATGCAACATGTTAAGACATTTCCCTGCTTTCTTTGGTGCCATGCTCTATCCGTATCATGCCTGGCCTGCCATTAAGTCAGCCAGTATTGGTTGATTTGATTTAATGTGATAATGTATGAGGAAAATCTTTATATAATAAAAGATCTGCTGCTTAGGTATTATCATTACAGAAAAAAAAATGACAAAGTTATATAACCTGTACCCAAGATTACATATTAATAAGTATTTGAAAATATTTGATGTGTTCTCTTATTTCTTATTGTGCTTTACAAAAGGTGTGTATAAGTTAAGGGAGATTTCTTAAGAATGGAAGAACTGTAGTTTGACAAGCTAAATAAGGTTAATTCTTACCTTTGAGCATTCTGACTTAAGGAAATCTATAGAGTAAAAAGAATACTATAAAAGTTTCAAACTCCATCTATGAAAGGTAAAAGATGAAAGGACATCCACATAGAAAAATAAATTTAATGAAAGTATTTTATGTTCACTGTATTGTTTCCCTGTATATGGAATTTCCCCCAGGATGATTATGTAAATTATTTCCTAAATATTATACTGCACATCTTTACAATAAGATAATTAAATATGATTTTGAATTCTGAGCTATCCTTCCAGTATATCTCAATGTCAAGGAATATATTTTTATATTTCTTTTCCTTAGCATATAATCTCTCATGGTAGATTTTTACATGTAATTGCACAGTGATTATTTTACTATATTTATATGTAATATTTTTTAAAACAAGTTTTACATATTTTAGGGAAAATGTGTGAATCTTCAGTCAATTATTGTGAATGCAATCCTTGCTTTAATGGTGGTTCCTGCCAAAGTGGTGTGGATTCATATTATTGCCATTGTCCATTTGGTAAGTATAACTGATTTGTTGATATAAAATATTATTTTACTTTGACTTAAAATTTAGCAATTTTGTTTTCTTATGACCATGTATGATTAAGAAAATATTGTCTTGAAATGCTACAGTGAAATAAAATCTGAAAGATTGAACACTTTTAAATAGGGAAATCCTCTTGGATATATTGCTCTGATTATCATTAGAAAAATAATTTACTCAATATAAATCAATGTTCTGCTCCTAGATGATTTATTCTCAAATATTCCTTCTGATGCCTTCTTTTCATTCCAGAATTTATTCAGTAAAAATCCTTTAAACACTATTTATATCATTCTCTATTTCAAATCTCTAAAAGAGTCAAATGTTTTTTGTTTTGCTCCTTTTTTCATTACTTTAATCACTTTTTAGAAAGATTTAGTAACTAGATATGCATTTTCATGATAGGGTTTTTTTTAGTTAATAGTGAGCGATTAATAAAAATTCAGACTAACACGGTCTCTGAGGAAGAAAGTTAAGAAGAATTTCTTTGCACACACACATGTTTATTCACCTTAGTTGGATTAACTAAAGGATTGTTTCCAAGTTTAATCTCAATCTTACCAGCACTGGGCCAACCTAGAACTGTGAGAAAGGATTTTTTTTTTCCAATTAAGTTTATTAGTACATTTTAGGTATAAAATACATTTACATACATCATTGGGATCTTGTACTATTACATGAATATCTTGGTTCTTATTTTTTCCCCTTCCCCTGCCCTCCCTTCACCCCCTTCACCCTTCCCTATTTGCAAAGACTT